ATCAGAGCCCCTCCCAACTTTGGGAGGAGCCAGGACAAAGGGTTTTGGCCCCTTAGACGACAGAAACCGGGAGGTGCCAAAACTCCCAACCCGGCCCTAGTCCTGGCCTCAGGAGCTGGCGGAGGAGCCAAGGTTAGAACCAAACCTCCTGCCCTCCTGCCTAGGTCCCACTCTCCTCTCACCCCTCCTCCCCAAGGGATGCTGGGGTGAGAGACCCGACACTGAGTCCCAGGACAGAAAGCCGGAGCAGTCGCCTCCGCTAGGCAGAGAATGCTGCCTGGAAGGCTGCCTGGAGGAGGGCAGCCTTCGCAGAGCAAGCACCAAGCAAGGCAGGGGGCAGGGAGGAGCAGGTGCAGGGTGTGGAGGCAGCTGTGCACCCCCCGGGGGGAGAGAAAGATGGCAGGCTGGTTGGCTGTGTCTCTGGGAGGGCCCAAGGCCACATGGGGGTCACCTGTCTCCTTTCTTCTCCAGGTCTTTCTCTGGGGAGTCAACGAGCCCCTCGTCAACAACCCCAGCCCCATGGTGGTGATTGCCCGGGTGGTTCCCAACTACAAGGAGTTTAAGTGAGTGGGGTGCAGGTGGGCATGGGTAAGGAGGGGGGCTGTCACCGCCACGACAGGCTGGTTCCAGGAGCTCCCTGCTGGGTGTGAGGTCCCGGGAAGCTTCCTGCAGCAGACCAGCCTTTCTTTCCCCAGGGAGAGCTCAGGCCCCTGGAAAGGGCAGCCCGGACCCCTCCTGAGAGCAGGCTGGGGCGGTGGGCGGGTGAGCGCCAGTGCCTGGAGGAGGGGGGTCCCCATTCCCTGTGCGGTGCCAGCCCCTAAGCCTGCCTCACGTCGCACGCTTACCCCTCCCGCTCTAGCTCGCGGCCACAGGCTCCAGCTGGTGGTTGTCCCCAAAGGAGGCAGCCTAAGGGACCTCTTGCAGCTTCATAACCTTCAGCCCTGCCTAGGAGTCCCCTCCCTCACCCTCCTGGAGGTGTCCCTGGCCCCAGCCCCAACATGTCCCCTACTCCCCGGATTTCCTTTTGCACCTGCTGGATTCGCAGTCCTCGGAGACGGGGCGAGGGGAGGGGGCGGGGGGGGTGCGGCTCAGGCTAGTCTGGCTGCACAGCGGGGCATGTTCCCCAAGGAGCACATGCTCTCTGGGACAGCACCGCCTCCTGGGAGCCAGGTGCCTGCCCTTAGCCTTCCACGGGCTCTGATGGCCTAAGAGGACCCGGACTCATCTGCCCCACCTGCTGAGTTTTCATCACCTATGAATCCCCCTGCTTCTTGGAGGAATGAAAATGTCTGATACACGCCCAGCCCAGTGACCTCAGTGCACGCACGCACACACGTGTACACGCACACACGTGCCCTGAATCCTGCCCCGGCAGGCTCTCCACACCCCCACGCCTACCCCGGGATTCCCACCGTGGGGGTGAGCCGTTGTGACTGGGTCTTCCAAAGCCGGGCAGGGAACGCAAGGCCCGTTTTAAAGATGGAGCAGCTGAAGCACTCAGAGGTGGCCAAGGCCAGTCAGTCCCGGATAAGGGAACTGAGCGCTACAGCCCGTCTCCTGAGCACGGGGAGCTTTCCCGAGTGGGGCCAGCAGCCGGAAGGACCAAGATCTACCACCTCTGTCAGGAGGCCCCGGCCTGAACTCGGCCGGCCACGGCACCCTGCTCGCATACGGATCCAGAGTCCCGTGGGGGCCCTGGGCTGCCCCGTGAGGGCCCAGAGCCAAGGGGACTAACCCTGTCTCTTTGCCTCCCCAGGGCCAGCCAGGTAAACAGGGACCTGGCCTCCGTGGGGCTGCCCATCACCCCCGTCTCCTTCCCCATCCCGTCCGTGATGAACTTTGACGTGCCTCGGGTCAGCCAGAACGGGTGCCCTCAGGTATGGCTCCTCCCGCCCTCTCTCGCTGGCTCCCACGTCGAATGACTGCCCGTCCGCTCGCTCGCTTGCTGGCTCAGCTGCTCCCTGGCTACCGAGGGCGGCTGCGTAGCCAGGGCCGCGCTCTCTGCGCCGTGGAGAAGCCGCCTCAGGGAAGGCAGGTGTCGCCACCGGACAGGTTACACAGCGACACGAGGTGATGTATAATCTAGTAAACCAGGAGGGGCTCTCAGAGTCATGGAAATCAGAGGAGAAAAGACACAAAAGGACAAATATTCCACTTACACGGGGCACCCAGAGTAGGCACATTCACAGGGACAGAAAGTGGAACAGCGGTTACCAGGGGCTGGGAAACGGGGACATGGGGAGTTACGTTTAATGGGAATAGAGTTTCTGTTTGGGGTGATGAGAAAGTTCTGGAAATACACGGTGGTGATGGTTGCACAACATTATGAAGGCACTTAACACCACTGATCTGTCTACACCTAAAAATGGTTAAAATGGAAAATTTTGTGTTAGGTATATTTCACCATAATAAAAAACTTTTTAGAAAAATCAGGAGAGGGAGGTGATTAGGGAGGGCAGTCTTGATTTTTGACAGAGGGAGGGTTGGTACAGGGCAATTGAGAGCGGCAAGAGCACAGGTGAGGGGACACACCAGCCGTGATCCGTGTCGGGGTGGACAGGAGGGCAGTCGTTTGAGCACGGGGGTGTGTGTACAGTTCATGGCTGGTCCAGGGAAACGGCCAAATCGATCTCGTCCCATAGTCTGCACTTCTGTGCGAGCTTGCCCCAGATAATGGTCCCAACATTCCTAGGGGCCTTTGAGGCTGGGGGTGGGGGTTCCTGGAAGTCCCTCCTGTTGTCTGCCCACCAATGCTCATGTCTGGCATGGCAAAAATAGAACAAGACACCCATTCAGAGTCCCTGCCCCCATTCAAAGGCAAAGACGTCTGAAGAAGGCTCAGACGCGGGCAAGAGTGACAGTAGTGGGGAGGGGTGGGAAGAAGGGAGACCCTGGGGATGGAGGCTGCAAACCCAAACCAATCCGTCCTCTGATTTCCCCAGAGTCATCTCACACATGGCCCTGCATTTGCCCAGGAAATTATGAACCAATCAGCAGGCTGTCCCAAGGGGCAGGAGGCGCTGCCTGCTTTAATGAGTGGTCCCCCCCACCTCCAGCCTGCTCTGGCTGCCTGAGCTACTAACTAGTGTGGGGGTGCCCCTTAACACAAAGGCTCACCTCCAACGCCTGCTGCATGTGTGCACTTGGAGTCAGCGGTCCAGCGATGGCAGGACACTTGTTGAAGGTCACTCAACACCACAGCAGCCAGGCCAGGTTGAGAACGTGCGTCAGCTGACTCCAAGGTGCCCAGGTGCAGTGGTGAGAGAACAGGGGCCGGCTGCTGCTGCTGTGGTGTGGGCCGGGGATGCCGGCAGACCCCTCCCTGGAGGGCCGCTAGCCAGCAGCCCTGGGCTCAGACGCTCACACAGACCCTGCCCTGCCCTCTCTGAGCTCGTCGCCTCTCCAGAGGAGCGGCGGGGTTGGACTAGGCAACTTCTAGGGCCTGCCCTCTCTGACATCATGGCGGGCTGTGATTTCCCACCACTGTGGCCAGACAAAAGCGCTGTGGGCAAGGCGTGGAGAGTCCAGCAGACCTGGTTTGCCCCAGCTCCGTGACTTACTAGCTGTGTGACCTTCGCCCAGCTGCTCAGTCTTTCTGCACCTGCCGATTCCTGCCCTACGGGGCTGTAGGGAGAATTTGAATGATAACCTGTGCAAAGCGTCCAAGCCGGGGTCCAAGGCAAAGTGGTTCTGTCCCTTCAAGAGCTGCACCTCCCGCTAGTGCCAAGGCGCCTCTGAGGCCAGCCTCACCACTGCCCTTGTCCCATCTGGCTCCGAGTAACAGAAACCCCAACTCGGATGGGCTTAAACACTGAGGATATTTGTTGTCATGCACCACAAGTCCCGACATGGGGTGCTGCCTGAACCGGTCGGTGCTGGCTCAGAAGCATCCTCGAGGACTCAGGATTTTTCCAACCCCCGGGAACTGCCATCTTCAGCCGGCTAACAGCTCATGGGGAAACATCCCGGGCGCCCCATCCAAGTAAGACCAAAGACCAAGGGAAGAGCAAAGACTTCCCTTCTCAGGGGTGGATTTTAGGAGGAACTGGAAAGCAACCTGCCCAGCCACCGTCAGCACCAGACCTCCCTTGCGTCTGGTTGGCCAGGATCACAGGCACTTCCCTGAGCCTGTAGCTGCGGAGGGGCGTGGCTCTGCATGGCTGTGGAGGAGGGGCCACCTGGACCGTGGGGCCACCTGTCGGGAGGAGGTGGGGAGCAGACTGGCTGCTGGCTCCGTGGCCCTCAGTGGAGCTGATGATGATGGCAAAACCTGAGCTCTGATGAGTTAGGGGACAAGTGGGCCCAGACTGCTGCAGCCAACATCATGCGGCCGTGGGAGTTACTCCTGCCCCCACGCCCACACCTTGGAAAGGGACCCTGGCCCAACAGGCTGCTCCCACTGTCATGGCCTCCTACAGAGCTGGGCGGAGCTCCGAGGAGCTGAAACACAAGCAGAAGTGAGAAAGGCTCAGCCCCTCAGCCAGCCTGTTCCCAAGCTTTCCTGGGGTCCTTTCCAGCCCGCAGGCCCTGCCCTGGTGCTGGCCCACTCTCCAGCCTAGACCCTCCCATCATCCCCTGCCCAGGGTAGGCCCCTCCCTGGACCCCTGGTCTGAGACTCAGCGGGTGCACAAGGCCCTGTGCCCTTCAGCCTTCTGGTGACACACGCATCCTCCAGCCCCACAGACGGCTTGCAGCTCTCCACGGCCATGCCGCCCTCACTCTCCTCCAGCCCTCACCTTTGCAGAAGCTCAGCCTGGAGTGGCCTTCCTCTCCCGTCCTCCCGTCCCCAGGTCAGAGTCATGGCGCTCTCAGACATCCCACTCCCACGGTCACAGCTGGCTCAGGCCTCTCGCGGATCACGCATGTGTGTGTGTCCTATCACCTTGCAAGACAGCTCGCTCCTGGGGCAGCGGTCTGGCTCCAGCTCCCACGTGTGCCCTGCAGCACCCGACAGGTGTCTGGCATGGAGAAGTCCCCCGGCCAACATTCGCTGAGTTCTGTTGAATTGAACTTTCGCCTTACTAGCAAAATATCCATTTGTCTCCTTGGACCACTTCGATGTGTGGAGCACAAAGCATTTTCCTGTTGGATGATGAGAAAACCTGGTCTCAGAGAGGGGAAGGGACTTGCCAAAGGTCACACAGCGAGGCTGAGGCAGACCCACCCAGGCCTCCCGCCAAAGAGTCCTAGCTCCCTTCCCAGCAAGGCTGCCTGGGCAGAGCGGGCAGCAGCGGTAGGTGTGGGTGTGGGTGGGCCCAGAATGGGAGAACGAAGGCTGTAGAATGAAGGCTTTGTCCCCAGGGAAGGCGGGTCTGCCTCAGGGGCCCGGGGTTAATGGCTTTTCTGAAGTTCACAGCTGAGGGTTAATCACATTCCTTAATTCCACGACCTGCCAGGGCCTTTCCCATTAGCTGCTGCGGGCAGTGTCGGCCCCTCGCCGCCCCCCCAGCCCCGTGCACACATCAGCCACCAGCACCTTCACCAGGGCCCTGGCATCAGACTCTGCAGGTCATTGAACCTTGAGCTCCCCACCCCCACCCCCCACACACGAGAGAGGGGCCTACCCTCCCCAATTCTAGGTCTGACGGGATCTTTCCTGGAGGACTTAGCCTGGGGAACCGTTCAGGGGGGGCCATCCCTTATTGGGCCCTCACCACCTCTTGCTTCGTAGATTCCATTTAGACACATTAACAGGTCCCAGAGAGGACAGCTAGCATCCATCAGATAACCCTCCCAGGGTGGGAGCAAGACACAGGGCAGCGGAGGACCAAGTCACACATCTTCCCTGAGTGCCCCAGTGCCTGGCAGATGGTCCAGGCCATTTGGACCCTTGAGCACCCGGGAGAAGGAGTGGCTCTGGGAGGAGCACGGTTTGAGGATCAATGCTGAGCGCTCTCTCCCCAGTCCCACAGAAGCCAGAACCAACTTCTCTCGGCCTGACCTGGTGGCCAAGTGGCTGTCCCTGAGCTCCCACTAGGAGTGTCTGAGGGACTGTCCCATCACCCCAGTCCCTGTCCCAGTGTTCAGGCCGCCCTGGCCCTGCAGTGACTGCAACCTGTCTCCCCAGACACAGGGGCAGACAAAGCTGAGCCTTGGGGCTGGGCCTGGGAAAACCAGGCACATTCATGTGACAGACATCAGGGCCCTGCCACCACGGGGGGAGCAGACCCACACTGATATTTCACGATCCCGCATCGATAACTCCCGGAGCCAGCGGTGTATGTGCGCTGACCTTTCCGCGCTGTGATTGATTCCCGCAGGGGAGCGGGCGGGGGGAGCGGCGGCTACTGTTGCTGACAGCCCCTGACTGGGGGCGGAGACAGGCAGCCCCGCTCTGTGCCGGGACCCTGCAGGGCTGCCTGCTGGGAGTTACAGGCGATGCCCGCCTTCCAGCCTGTGCAGATGCTGGGCCTCCCCCTGGAGTCTCTCCTCATGCCAGGCGTCCTCTGCGCATGCCGTGCTTGGTGCCACCCCCACGGTCCTGCTTGTGCCGCTCTGCCCCCAGAAGACCTTCCTCCCTCCCTTCACCTGCTCAAACCTTCCTTCAGAGCCTTCCTGTGGTTTGCTTCCTCCAAAGCGGCTTTTCTGACCTCCCCAGGGATGTCTCATAGGGGTCCCTTATTTGGGGGCTTTGGCTAATGCTGCCTTGTTTCATTGCTTGAATCGTACCCACGCGAGTGCCTTCACTGCTGGCTTGGGGTGCCATCAAGTCCCCAAGTGCCTGATGGCCCCGGCTGACACATGGAGGCTCCAGAGCCTGAAGACCTGTCCTAGCCTTCCACGAGGGGCTGGGGGCCCGTGTGGGGCAGAAAGGGGGTGTAACGAGGGTGGAAGTCATGTCCAATTTGGCGTCCATGACAAGCCATGAGTATGAACATTGGTGCAACAGGTTAGGAAAGCGGTCTGCCAATAATGAACCTTAAAACACACACGTCCTTTAACTCAGCAATTCTGGGTCAGGAATTTGTGCTAAGGCAATAATTTGAGATACGAAGGTGTGTGGCAAAGAATATTCGACGCAGCGTTATTGTGGGGAAAACGGAGAGGGAGAAACCAGGGCACTTGGACATGACAGAATGTCCTGAAGTCCCTAAAGTCGTGGGCAACAGGAGTTTTTGTGACTCTGGATGGCTTAGGGTTTGGTGGTAAATGAAAAAGGCAGGGTGTAGAATGACAATTATATACAAAATATGCATGGAAAAAACTGGAAAGAAGCACACAGTTTTATGAACTGCTGTCTTTAGTGTGAGAACATAGGAGTTTGTTTCTTCTTTCTACTTTTCTGTATTTTCCAAAACTTATTCATTAAAAATTGTAATCCTAGCACTCTGGGAGGCCGAGGCGGGCGGATTGTTTGAGCTCAGGAGTTCGAGACCAGCCTGAGCAAGAGCGAGACCCCGTCTCTACCAAAAATAGCAAGAAACTAATTGGATAGCTAAAAATATATAGAAAAAATTAGCTGGGCATGGTGGCGCATGCCTGTAGTCCCAGCTACTTGGGAGGCTGAGGCAGTAGGATTGCTTGAGCCCAGGAGTCTGAGGTTGCTGTGAGCTAGGCTGACGCCACGGCACTCACTCTAGCCAGGGCAACAAAGTGAGACTCTGTCTCAAAAAAAAAAAAAAAAAAAAATTGTGTGTTGCTTTGATAATTGGGACAAACATTTGTGACACAGATAGACACACACCACACACAACCAAATATCTGCGCATGCTTTGATTTGGGGGGAGCTGTAGCCCCACCGCCTACTCTCACCCTCTCCCTCCAGCTGTCCAAGCCTGGGGGACCCCCAGAGCAGCCCCTGTGGAATCAGTCCTTCCTCTTCCAAGGCCGAGATGGAGCCACCAACTTCTCGGAAGACACAGCCCTGGTGCTGGAGTACTACCCCTCCACTTCAAGTAAGTGCCCGCGTGGCGCCTCACCAGGGCAGCCACGCAGCAGGAGCTTTGTGAAAAGGGTGTTTGGACCATCTCGCCTCTGCCTCCCGCCGGGATGGTTTAGGGGCTCCCAGGTGCCGAGGCAACCTCCCAGTGCAGGCAGAGGAGAACCTGGCTGCACTCCTTGTCCAAGTGGCAGCTGTGGGGCACAGGCTGGGACACCTGGGCCTGTCCCCATCCCAGGTCCTGTCCCCAGGCTACGTTTTCATTGCACCCATCAGTGATGGGGAGGGTGGAGCCCTCAGAGCTCACAGGGATGGGTGGGGGAGACAGGGTTTACTTCCACTCTATGGGATTGAAGCCCCCAAAGGGCAGACAAGAGGGTGACCCCTATAAATACCCAGAGACGCAGAGTATGTTTAAGGTTGGCTTTGGGTTCACAAAGCCCGGAAGATGGGCAAGGAGGGTGTGCGGGGAAGGCCAGAAGGCAGAAGCAGGCGGGGCGGTGGGAGCTGGGAGGGCTGGATGTGGGGTATGGAGGACGGGGCCAGGGTGGGGGCTTTGGTGGGACCCGGCTGCTCCTTCCCCTCAGTGAAAGGCAGCCAGCCGTGGACCCTCACCCATCCCCTGGGCATCTCTGTGTTGCCACTGAAGAGTCGTTTGTACCGGAAGATGCTGACAGGGAAAGGCTTGGACGGGCTACGCGTGGCACGGCTCCCCGTCACGGTGAGCCCCTGCCCTGGACCGGGCCCCACCTGGTCGCACCCCGCCCCGCCCCGTGCCGCCTCGCCTCACCTCCATGGAGAACTTGCCTTCTGCGAAAGCTCCCGCCAGCGCACTCCCTGTAGATGCGGGAGCTTCCCCAACGCCAGAGAACATCTCGCCTCTGGGCTGTGACAAACCAGGCCCTGAGCGACGTGGGGGAGAAGCACGAGGACGCCCTGCGGGATAGTGCAAGAGCTCAGGCCCTCAGCCAGCCAGACCTGGGTTCGAATCCTGTCTTGCCCCCATCCCCGCCGGGGAACATGGGTAAATTACTTGCCCTCTCGCAACCTCAGAGCACTCGTCTCTAAAATGGCGTGACACAACCAGGATGCAGTTTCTGTGTGTAACAAGAGAGTTAAGAGCTCAGGCTCTTGAGCCAGACTATCTGGGCCCCAGTTCTGGTTCCTGCTCGTGGTTCCCCGCTTACGAGACCGTGGAAATTAAAGTCTCGGTGCCACAGTGTCCTGGTCTGTAAAATAGGTGCACAGTCATCGTGCTTTTCTCATAGGGTTACTGCAAGGTTATCAAGGGAACACATGTGAACGCTTAGAATAAGTTCTCAATGAGAATTAATACCATTATTATTATCATTATTATCTATTTCTATGCCACTTTTCCCCCTAAAATGCTTCTGGCCATCCTGACATACAGACCTCAACAAATGGGAGCTTCCCTCTGCCAGGCGGTGAGCCTGCAGGTGCCACTCGGGTGCCCAGTGGAGTTGAGAAGGGGGTGTGGAGGAAGTGAGGGGGGCAGAGGCAGAAGGCCAGCTCCCCACTCCTTCCCACCCTCCTGGGCGCAGCCCCTGGCAGGCGCCTTCCTGGGGAATCTGGAACAGCGGGTGGAGCAGAGGCCAAAGCCGCCCTGGCCAGTGTGGTGTGAGTGCCCCTTCTCCTCGCAGGACACTAACCTGAAAACCGTAAGCGGTGAGGCCCCCACAGTGGATCTCTCCTTCCACCTGATCTCCTCCGAGGTAAGGCTGTGGCCGGTGGGGGACGGGGGAGTGGGGCGGTGCAAGGCTGGCAGACAGGCGTAACCAGCCCCTCAGTGAGGCATGGCCTTGTTCAGGGCCGGGGCCAGGGGCTTCTGGGCGGAGGGGACTGCTGCTTTGGATGGACAAGTCTGAGGGTGATTTGAGGCTCCAGAAGACCAGAGAGAAAGCTGAAATTAGGAACAGGAGAGTTGCAAGCAGAGGGCCACCCAGACCTGAGAGTCAGCCTCTGACCCAACCCAAGGCAAGCCTGGCTCACTGGGATCAAGGTTCTACAAGGGTGAAGTAGGACAGCAGTTTTCAGTTACTGCATAACTAACTCAGCAGCTTAAGGCAGTGCTCATCTATTAGCTGACACTCGTATAGGTAGGTAGTCCCACCCAGCGTGCCTGAAGTCGAGATGTTGGCAGGGTCACATTTCCTTCTGGAGGTTTCCAAGCTTATTCAGGTTGCTGGCACCATCAGTTCCCTGCAGTTAGGACTGACATCCCAGTTTCCTAGCTGGCTGCCTGCCAGGCCACCCCCAGCCCCCAAAGGCTGCCCACATCCCAGCACCACGCAGCAGAAAGTGGGAAAAGCCCAGCAGGTTCCTGCCAGGTGCCCTGGAGCCAAATGGCCAGGGGCCAAGCAGACTCAGCGCTCAGGTGCAGCTGGCGGGAGGAAGAGAGGCATCGTCAGGCAGGTCCCGGCCCTGGGCATCTTTCCATTCCGACCAACCCGACTGTGGCAGACAGAATTCCAAAAATGGGCCCCCAACATTCCGCACCCTAAATATTGCAACCTGCAAATACTCCGTGCTCCCACTCCCATGACTTTGTTGTGTTACATGGCCCCACTGACCTTACGACAGGGAGATGAGATGAACTAGGAAACGCTGGTAGGGGCTGATGTCGGGCCCTGCCAGCTTCCCACAAGGGAAGACTACCCACCGGCTCCGGGGCAGTACTTGGCCCTGTGACCAAATCCATGAAGAACACAGAGAGTCCTATGGTGTGCGGTATGAGGGGTACATCTGGGCAGGTACCAGCCTCAACGTGTCTTCATGAGGCCTCTGGTGAGGGCCCGAGACCTCCCATTAGCACCCCTGCCATGGGCGCTCAGCACCGCCCTCATGAGTGTCCCCTGATACCTGGGTGGGAGAGAGCTCGCTACTCCCTGGCAGCCCCCGCCCCACCACCAAACCAGGAACAAGAAGATACTGAGAGGAGACGGCACAGAAGAAACAAAAGACCCCAAGAAAGGTGCAGCAGGATCTTGGAGAAAAAGGTCACAGACTTCCAGATTGGAGCCCCGGCCTCTTGCCAGGGTCAAGAGTCTGCCAGTGGCCACTGCCAGTCCCTCTCACCTCCCCCACCTACTGCCCCCTTCACTGGGGCGCACGTGTCCTGGGAGTGAAAGGAGCGGCAGGTGCTCCTGGGCGGGACTGGGGGGCCCAGGCAGGCAACAGGCAGGTGGGCAGGACGCTTCCCCCATGGCCCAGGGGCTGGGCACAGGTCTCCAGTAATGAATTATTCACTGGAGCTGAGCTAAGTGCAGAATTAATCCCTTTCCTTCCAGCTGGCGGCCTCACTAAATTACCCCTCCAAGCCATGCGGGAAAATGCTGTGAATTCATTTAGCTGCTGAGTGTTTTGATCTGGGCCTCATGATTTTAGCGGTCCCTTCCCCCAGCCCCCTCCCCCTGGAGGCGGGTAGAAAAAACCTTTTAGTAATGGATTTCTGAGAAGAAAGGAAAAGAAAGGGATGGAGATTGGGCGTGTACCAAGAAAACAGCACGAGCAGATTGTGCGGCCAAGAATTTATGCACACAGAGTGTGCACATGTGAGTGCCCCCATGCAACCACACGCAATGTGTCCACGCGGACAGCCACTGGGCACGGATGTGTGCACACACCTTTGCAAGGGTGCACACACTCAATGCATACGTGCACGCTCTCACACACATGCAAACTGGCACACAGAAGCCAAACCTCTTTGTAGCTTAACTGTTTGTTGGTGAAACCATTGAGGATTGGCCAATAACTGATTCACTTTGATTCTAGAATCTTAAAGATCAATTTAGGGGCCTGAATATGAAGTGCTAATGTGGGTGGATTCGCCAGAAGGTTCTTGCCGCCACGGGACCCACCCATTTATTCTTTTATTCCACATATATTTGATGAGGAACCACTACATGCCAGGGACCATGTAAGGAAGGAAGTAGAATGTTGGCTGCACTTGTGGATTGCAAGGGGAGGGGCCTGCGGTCATGGAGCCCATGTGCCTTGAGTTCACCCTCATCAGGTTTGGACGTGGCTCTCTGCTGGCGTCTGAGCCCTTCTGGTATCCTTCTCGCTAAGGGGTGACGGGACAGCGCTGAGAACTGAAGGACAGGTCAGAGGGCACGCAGCTAAGTCCAAAGGGGCCCGTCCCCTTCTCCAGCCCGCACCTCCACCTTCATTGTGATACCACGTTGTCCTGCAGGCAACTGTGAACGCGGGACACCCTCCCCTGCAGAGCAGATACTGTCCTGAGTTTTAGGGGTATTGCACAGAAGAAGACAAAAATATAAGACCCTCCTATCATAAAGCTTGCATGTCAGAGAGCAGGGAGTGTGGCCAATGAACAAATAATTTAAAAGCAGGTATCAGCCAATGACAAGTGGCCTGAGAAAATGCAAACAAGGTGATGGGATGGGCAGTCCTTGGAGGAGCTATTTGGATTCCGCATAGCAGCCTGGTAAGGCCATGAGCTAAGCTGCTATGAAGAAGAGACCAGGGTCCTCACACCTCCTTGTTGCACCCGAGGTGTTGCCCGCAGCTTAGTGGTGGAAGGGGCCTGGTCCTCACCCCTGCGCCACAGCCTGAGCAAAGGCGGTGGCAGGGCGGGGCTGCCCACCCTCCCGCCATTTACACCAAACACTGCTTAAAGGTCCAGGAGCCACCCCCGGACACGCGGAGATCTTAGGGTCCTGTGGACTCTCCCACTGCAGGGGGGCTGTGGTGGCTGGGCCCTCGGGCCCCTCGTGCACCTGGTCAACAGCTCCGTCTTAGGGACGGCTCTTTGCACAGGGTGAGACACGGCAGTGCTGCCACGGAGCAGAAACGCTTCAGGAGAAATGAACATGCAAGGCTTATTTGGGAAGAGCCGCCTCCTGAGGACGCAGTCTCTTTCCCGTGAGCCTCCATGTCCGGGAGGTTTGGGCACAGGCTGTCCTGAGTAATTGGACCGTTTGGTGAACACAGCCTCGCCACGCCACCCGCTTCCACATCACCCACGCTCAGAGCTCTCAGGAACTTCCACATAGGCAGAGACTGCAGAGGTCTCTCTCAACAGCCCACCTGGACAGGAATCTCCCTGGCAACATGCAGCCCAGGGGGTCGTCCCGGCCTCTCCTGCTCTGCCACCACGGGGAGCTCGCTGCCTCCGGAAGCAGCCCGTGGGTGGCTCTTTGAGCCCAGACTGCCTCTGGGGACCTCCTCTGCCCCAGGTTTCTGGCTCTGCCCCGGGGGCTGTAGGGCGCTCCAGCAAGCCTCCCGCGTGGGTCCGGAGGGCCAGCCAGCCAGCATGCCTGCGGGCGGACCAGGTAACAGAGCCTGCAGTCTCAGCGAACGGCAAGTGGTGGTCTCTGGGTTGGGCCATTGTACTTGAAGGTGGTTTGTTGGTGATGGGTTAGTTTTTACCCTCTGGTGGAATCTCTCTGTAAACTGGATTTATGTGCGTAGGTGAGTAAAAACTAGAAAAACAAGTAAACTCGCGCACACATGGAGCACTTCCCTTTATTGTGCATCCAGTGGGGGTTGGCCTTTGAGGTCCTTTAGGCGCTGAGAGTCCACAGCCTGTGGCTGCTCCGCGTACACATGCACGAATGAACCTGTGGTCTCCTCCAGCCCCTCTGGCCTCAGCCTCTTCACTTTGAAGAGCGTGATGTGGTCCCCCCGGGAGTCTGCACTTCTCCGGGCTAAGCAGCCCGGCTCTTTAATGAACTGGTTTCATGATCCCGCCGCGTCCTGGGTGCCCTCCAGCTTGCAGCCAGCCTCTTTGAAGTGAGGCCCACGCTGGCCAGGTTTCCTGGGCTGCCCATGTGGATTGGAGCCTGGTATGCACACAGTAGGTGCTCACTGTGTAGGTGCCTGCCTCTCTGCCTGGAAATGCACCTCCCCACGACATGGGACAAGTTCATGCCATCATGTTGGTGTTTGGCAATATTTCCCGTCTTGCGGTTAGGATTTGGGATCCCCCGACTTGCTCAGGTGGGGCACAGGGCACAGGCAGGGTCGGGCTCCTCAGATGGGTGGCCACCCCTCCTCAGCTCACAGCTGAGAGCTGCTGGGAGGACATGAAACCCACCGGCTCCCTGGGATTTTAGCACAGGGAGGGTGCATTTGAGGAGAGGAGGTGGTGGCCGCTGAGTCACCACTGAGGGAAGGGGCAGCTGCCATGGTCCCATCTGACCCTCCCCCTTCCTCTCCCCCTCGTGGAAAGGGGGTGGGGTGAGTCTTTGATGCTGCCCTTGTGGGGTTTTCTTTCAAACTAGTTACAAAGCTCTCTCTGGAGACCAGGTTAGAGTGGGGACAAGTGGCTCCTTAGCAAATGTGGCAGGGAGGGCAGGGGACAGGGAGAATCATGCTGGCTTTTGAAGAATTTTCATGGATTTTTTGAAAGCCATACATGACAGCCCTGGGTTGATCCTTAGAGAAACCCCAATGCAAAGCTGCCTCCATTTCCTCACCCAACACAGCTGCCTGGAAGGACCAGTGTCCAGGACAGCACGGTCGTCTCCTCAATGGGTTCAGTCCTCTGGAAGGTTCTGTCCCCACGCCCAAAACACCAGCTCTGAAAACACTGTCACAAGGATGCCAGTGGATCCAGAGAGAGAGACCCTTTCCCTCCCACCACCTCATGACACCCTGCCATCCTTCCTCCCCGACCCGAAGGCCCTGCCCTCCTGTCCTTGCGCCGTCCCAGGTCAGATGGCAGGAGGCAGCTCCCAGGCACCCTTTC